ACCCGCAGGTGCAGGAGTGGCTGCAGCGTAAGCAGGCTGCGCGGCAGCAGCAGCGGCGGGAGGACCGAGCCAAGCGGAGGCTGAAGTTCCAGATGAAGCTGGAGGAGCGGGACCTGCGGATCGCCCGGATGCTGGAGTCCGACGAGAAGGTGGACCAGTGGATGCGGGAGAAGAGGAAGCTGCTCAGGAGGAAACCTCAGGTGGGCTTGTCTACCTTACCGTTCCCCTGATAGCATCCCAGGGCTCTAGCCAGCACCAGTTTTCAGTCAATTGCAGGAACTTTGTGGCATGTGATGGAAATTTTTTAAAAATCAGTCCGTCAACCTTGATAGACAAAATAGACCAAAATCTTGGGTAAAATCATAGAAAGGGCAACCAACAACCACTCTCAACCCAAGATCGATCTTGAACTTGAGCTGACAGGAAAAAAATATTGAGCTGACTAGAGCCTAGGTGATGGATCCTCTTTCTGTGCCAACTGTCAACCCTGTTGGGTTTTGTGGTTTCGAGTTCCTAAATCGTTCACTAATTTTCTTCCTTTCTCTGCCACAGAAGCCCAGAAAAGCCGTGGTGCAGCCGTCAGTGGTGCAGCAGGCGGAGACGGAGGTGACCACGCCCCTCGGCAACAGTAACCAGGGGCAACCAGATCTCCCCACCCTGGAGAAACAGGCCGCTCAGCTGGAGGAGAAACTGCTGAAGGACCTCGGCACAGAGACAGGGCAGGGCGACGCTAGCACCGGGTCAGCCAATGGGAAGGGGCAGGGCAACACTGGTTTAACCAATGGGAAGAGAGATGCTATTTCGACCAATGGGAAGGGGGATGCTATTTCGACCAATGGAAAGGTTGGAAACTCGACGACATCCCCAGCAGATGGGAAAGTCGCAGGCATGGATGATTTTGCGCGTCGGACGGTCCCTGCTGGTCGAGCGAGGACGGAAAACGGCGCCCAGCCGGCAGGCAGGGTTCCCGTCAGGCCGACGACAGCCCCTCCCAGGATCGGCAGCCCGACCAAGCGGCGCGGGAAGTCGCTTCAGCCAGCGTCAGCGCGGAGCCGTGGGTCTAAACCTTCCCCCGAGTCCCCGGGCACCACACCACGGAGCTCTGTATCACCACGGAGCACCGTGTCAGCGTCAGGATCGCCGCGGGACCCGATGAGAAACCTGAGCTACGACGAGTGGCTGCTGCACAAGCGGCAGGAGGACAGGCAGAGGAGGCGGCAGGTCAAGAAGCAGGAGGCAGACCCAGAGCTGCAGAGGTAACGTCCGCTCACATTACATGTTCCCTTCTCATGTCGATCTGCTGCCTCTCAAGCCTTCCTGTACTGACTACCCTCCTGATCCTGAGCTCCTCTAAAACCTTCTATCCTACCTCAACTCTTTATTGACAACTTTTAAATTAGTAACATCTTTTCACACCTTTCATTTCCAGTTTTTCGTCTTTTACTAAATTTACACTTTATTTCTACTCCACCCACCCCCATTCTGTAACTTCTTACAGTTTAACTAACTCCAGCCTTGATACATGATACATTTATGTCTTGGCTAAGGAAAAGAAGGTACCAAATGTATGTGGTCCCGTTTGTAGTCTGTAACTGTAAATCTGTGTGTTTCCCCCATGCAGCATTATCCCTGAGCTAGTCTGTAACATGTTTCTGTGTGTGCTCCATGTCTGTAAGTTACTAAGTGCACAGTGTGTATATTTGTGTGTGCTCCATATAACATTATCCTAGTGTGTAATGTGTACATGTATCTTTGTTTCCCCCCTGCAGCATCATCCCAGAGCTGGCCCGTCGGCGCGTGGACCGTGCCACCGCAGGGAAACAGAAGCTGGACACCGGCCTGAAGCAGAGGAAACAGGACAGCAGCAGGGAGAAACCAGCAGACGACCAGGTACGGATACAAGCTTCTTGTATCAGTACTGTTAGTTTGGCATAATTTGTGAAATTTCAATCGGAAGCCACATAATGAAAGAAAACTAGTTAAACTTGCTAGTTAAATTAAAAAAAGAATTTTATTTTTTACGGTACAATAATGATACTAGCCTCATTTATATAACACCAAGTGCAATTATAAAAGACTGCACAATCTATCCAGTTACTTGAGGATCTGTTTTCTTCTGTATCTCATTTCCAGAATCATCCCTAATCAAGACTGCTCAGTTTTTGTGTTTTTATCCCCAGATGTACTTTATGTCCGTTTTGTCCCGAGGAGAACAAACCCAGTTGCTTGAGTTACTGTTTTCTTCAGTATCTTATTACCTGGATGTCTATGAAGGTAAAAGACTGCACAGTAATATTTTTTATCCCTGGATGTTGACAGCAGTTTCCGTTTTGTCCCCAGGAGAACAAACCCAGGTTTGTGTGGCGGCTGAGAGACGACCCCACACTCGAGCGACCCTCGACGACCCAGCCGGGTTCCAGAAGCCCCACGACGACCCGGGCAGGCTCCAGAAGCCCCAGCCCGGGTAAGAAATCCCCCGTAAGACCCTCCAGTCCGGGTAAGAAGTCCCCTGCGAGACCCTCCAGCCCCCTGAAGGAGCCGGCGTTCTACCGGCGGCAGCGGTTCTCACGAGAAAAGATGCAGCTTTATTCTCAGAGGCCGGAGCCGCAGGGCAGCGACTGTCCGGACATCACCACGCACGATAACGACCAATCACGGGGCAGCATCCACACAGCCGACCAATCACAGGACAGCCTCTACACAGCCGACCAATCAAAGGCTAGCCTCCACACAGCCGACCAATCACAGGGCAGCCTCCACACTGCTGACCAATCAGAGAAGGGAACCACTGAAGCAGTTGTCGACCAATCAGAGAAGGGAACCACTGAAGTAGAAGTTATTGACCAACCAGATGAGAAAAAGGTTGACCAATCGGAGAGTGCAACTGTCAAGGCAGATAGCCAATCGCTGAGTAAGACTGGATCCAACCAATCAGCACCAGCCTGTAAGACAGCTGGCCAATCAGTGAACAGGTTGTTTGCAGCGTTGGGCATTTCGGATGAGATTGAGGAGAATATTGAGTCAGAAAGTGAGAGTGAGGATGAGGAGAGACTTTCTCCCTCGCAGACCTTCATCACTACTGTGGGAGACACTGGGGAGGGCCGTGGGTAGGCTGGGCGGTTTCAAATCTAGTTCTGTGCCTGAATGGGTTAGGGTTTCGATCAGGCAAGATTCTGGATAGTCTCTATTGTGCCCAGAACTGTGCCTATCTAGTCCCATGCCTGAATGGGTTGGGGTTAGGATCAGGCACGGTTCTGGATAGTGTCAACGTATCCAAAACCCTGCCTATCTAGTTCTATGCCTGAATGGGTTAGGGTTGGAGTCAGGCACGGTTCTGGATAGTCTCCACGTATCCAAGAACATAGATTTGCCCCAGGCACAGTTCTGGATAATCTGCGTGTATCTAGGAACATAGATTTGCCCCAGGCATGATTCTGGATAGTCTGCGTGTATACGAGAACATAGATTTGCCCCAGGCACGGTTCTTGAGTGGACTATCCAGAACCGCGCTGGAGCATGGTTCTGGACACAACAGTGGTGCAGTATTTTGCACTTCTGTTTCTGGAGCTGAGGGTTAAGGGTTTGAATCCCGTCTGTAGTCACTCAATTGACTTGCGGTACTAAAATATGCTGAAAGGGTTGCAGTCCTTTGAAAGGACATTCTAAGCCATTATATTTTCTATTCAACTTAGCAGAAAGAAAAGAGTAGATTAAATAATGTAGATACTGTCACAGTGTCTTTTCACATGTTCCCGTGGAAAAACAGCCCTCTGTAAGATAATATAATATATGAGGCATCTTTAATGATACATAATGTGTGAAAAAAAGCTTGTTGAATTATTCAGAGTGGAGCTGGAAGTTGTTGTACAGATCTGCTGCATAATGATATAGTTTGGCCTGCTTAGAAATGAGCTACATATATTAGAAGTTCTTTAGATGGAATATGGATGGATACTATATATATTTGCAGCTATAGAGCGACAGATTGGCTGCAAATCAAGGATACTTGAACTTAAACATAAGGATTTCAAGTCATCTATTACCTTATTATGAAATATGTAGTATAAAATGTATATGTTTAGTATATAAATATATATTTAGAAAGAAAGAAAGCTGTAATGTGTAAAGTGGCTCCTCCTTCGAGTGAACACCTGTGGATGTTGAAGATAATGTTATAATAATAATGTATATGAAATATACAAAATAGTTATATTATATGAGACAAAGTTACTGTCACTGCAAAGTATATTCTACAATCTGTTTATTTCATGCATATAAATGTAAGGTTTAAAGCTGTTGTTGAAACACTTGTGGACTTGTGGAATGTAGCTTGTCAGTTTTACACTGTTAATGTTGCTGCTTATGCACATTGCACATTGCACAATAGTAGAAACTGGACAGAGCTCTATGCTGTGTTGAACAATCATCTGTATTGATAGGATACTGTAAAAATTCAAACTGTCATTCAAACACTCAGCAGACAGTATAACTTTGTATTTTTCAGTTTTTAGTTCTACTCAGTTATGACAAAAGGCCATGGTTGAAAAATTGGTCTTAGTTTTCACACGCAGCATGTTACAGCTATTAGTTATGCATTGTTGATGTGTCTTGTACATATCATTAAGAAGATTAAACTATATTTCATCGTGCAAATTGTCCTTTACATTATTGACAAATTGTAATCATGTCAAAGCAGTATTATATGGTTTTGGTCAGCCTGCCTTATCTGAACTCCTTAACATCATTCAGACACCTGTTGTTGGGGCCCTTTAAATAAACATGGCGACGTCCCGCATTGTCCTGCAGTGATATATACCCACCTGTTGTTAGGCTACCTGCGATATTTTGGTTGCTATTACGTCATGGGACTTGCCATTGCTCCTCACTTCATAAACGCGTTGCTTTTACTATTTCTGCAAAATCTTGAGGTCGTCTCAAAAAGCATCTTCTGGGGCTTTAAGATTTTAAGTAACTCAAGATACCACCTTTTTTCCAACCTGGTGCATGAAGTACCCAAACGCTACTTATCCCGCCACCCCTCTGACTGAATGGATTGTTCCTTTGTCCTACCCTGCCTCCATGGCGGTGGCAGTGGAGGCATCTGGACTAGAACTGCTCGGCAAAACTCGCGTTCATCGAGTTTCATCTGTTCAGACCGCGCCGTCAAACCACCACAGGGACCAGCAAACTACCGGGATTCAGCCAGACCGACAGTAAATAGGTAAAACTGACATCAGCTGCAGCTTCGGGGTTGGAAACACAAGCTCGCTGAGGGCATTAAGGTTGGGGAAAAGCGGAACTTAGTTCAGGGTGAATTTGCACATTCTCGTCTGCTGCAGCTGAAGAGGTATGCCTGTCTGGATCAATTAACAACACGGGAACTTTGCAATAGCGAGTAAAACCCCAGAATTTGAATCATGAACATAAAAATGCCTTTTGCAAAACTTCAGTTTAGCGGTACTGAACGCCTTTTAACCAAACCGGAACAGGTAGTTTAACCGAGGACGTTATATTGTCCTTGGCATAGCTAATCATTCGAGACCAGCTGATACATATTGTCCTTGGGCAGGTGTCGATAATAATTTGTCCACCCTACACCAACATTTTGCACATGATGGAAGTTTTTTCGCTTTTCTACTTTTGCCTGCCGCGAGAAATGTCATAAACGTCTCATGATTTCCATACATAGACATAACTGTGTCTAATTAACCATATCTAGAACGGGGGGGGGGGTGCTAAAAGTACCTTTGATGTCGGATAGCGTCTGAAGGGCTTGCGCTAGAACCAGCAAACGTAATGACTTTATATAAAATATAGTTGGCAACAATTCAGTATCAGTCAAGATATTTTGTGTCGCCATGGCAACGGGTTTCAGCCTTTCTTTTGCAAAACTCAGTAATTTTCGTTTCAACAATAGACTGTTATGGGTTTTATGTCAAATTACACCTGGTTTCTAATGTTAATAACATGTAATGTAAGTTTATGTAATTTTTATCATTAAAAATGCATAATTTATGGTAATTTCATGACGTCAAAGATGGAAGATAGCTTAAATTTACATGACGTCATTTTATGACGTTCGGTCCGGATAGGGTTAAAGGTTAAGTTTCCATGTTTTCAGGTAACTACATAGCCGTTGCTATTACTTCTCTACGGGCAGAACAGTCAGCTGAGCGGGCAAAATGGCAGCGGCAGAACAGAGCGGGCATGCAGGTGAGGCCCTCAGCACGTCTCACGTCAATACTGCATTCTTAGGCTAATAGTTCCACCGGATCGTTGATCTGGTGGTATGCCACTTGACAAAGTTCTCTAAAAGGCGTCCAATAGACAAGATTTCTGCTAAGATCACAAAACTCGCTTATTACAAAAGAATATTCCAGAGAAGCCATTGCTTCAAAAGAATACGTCAGACCCTCCACTTATGTGCGTCGAAACACTAGATAGATGTTTAGACCTCTTAGATACCTGTTCCTTTGAAATGAGCCTTCAGGCAAGAGTTTGCGGTTGATATGTTTGATAATTTATATAATGTCTGTGTAATATTCGAACTTCAGGTGATGAAACATGCCACTTTTTGGCTATTACGTATTTGTGTTATGATCCAGGAAACTGAGACACACGCGAAGAGAGGACACGCGATTTAAGCGTTGCTACTGAAGGGGATTACAGGACTTGTAGTCAGTATTGATGACCTAGCACCATAGTACTAATGATGTCAACTTTGTTTTCTGCCGATTGCAGATGTTCGAAAGCACTTCTTTCTCGTCAAGGAAAATGTGAGCTCAGACTGGAAGGACCTGGCCTTCCATCTCGGGTTCGGGCGAGCGGACACCGACAACATTGCAGGGAGGAACCGGGATGACAAGTCCCGCTGTATGGACCTGTTGGAGGAATGGCTCAAGCGGAACGGGGAGAGAGCCACCATAGAGGTCCTGGTGGAGGCTCTGTCTGAGGCAAACTTGCAGAGTACTGTGGACAAACTGAAGAAAATGACAATATCTGGTACTACCTTAAGTTTGTCTTATTCAAATTCGGACCAAGACAATAAAAAGAATTTTCTTTAACTTGTTTTGTCACTGCAATTTTAAGCTTTTTTTTCAGAATTGAAGCTTTGGTCAGAACAAAAATGTTAAATTGTGTTTCTAGTGTCGGACGCAGCCCAGCCACAGGGTAGCCAGCGGGAGAGCAACAAGGACAGTGGGGGCCAGGTGGAGCAGGGTTTGCAAATAAAACGTAAGATATTCTTTTCATTTTCGTTACGTATTTTTTTCCTATTATCGTCTTTAAAAAGTCTTTAGATCTGTGGTGTTTGTCCTTGGCGGCAACATATATTGCCCTTCTTCTTTATCTTTTAAAAGTCAGGCACCATGTCAAAGTTTTCCTAATATAAAAGGTAGTTAACACTTCCGGTTTCCCTTTTTTAGTCTTATACTTATATCTCGTGTTTTCATTCTGAACTTAGATACATCTGTACTTGTTATTGTTACGAGTTAGCAATACTAAGTAAAGTCTTTACAATGTTTAAAAAGGTGGTGTATCTTTGATTCCAGGTGTGTTCCAGGAATCTGTGAAGGGATTCTATGAGATGAAGCTGACGAAATTCAAACCTCTGATCTGGAACGACAACTTCACTCTTACCCTTGGTGATATTTTTACCGAGTTAGAGTTGATAGGGACAAGGCAAAAGATGCAAGAAGGTAACAGAAAGTTACATTCGCTAGACGACTTGTTCAAGCCAGATGTCACAGGGCTGTCCACAGTACCAAGGTGCATTCTGATTGAGGGTGAAGCTGGAGGGGGGAAGACAACGTTTCTGTCCAAAGAAGCCCTAGATGCCGTCTCACAGAAAACAGAGCTGGGCAGACGGCACGACATCGTCCTGTTGATCCGACTCCGGGAGGTGAGAGAGGGGGAGACCGTAGAGGAGATGGTGTGTGACCAGTGCGTTCCTGAAACAACTGAAGGTGTTGATGTACAGTCCATCAGAGCAATCCTACAGAGGAACGAGTCCCGTGTGCTCTTCCTCCTAGATGGGTATGATGAGCTGCGGCCTGAGGCCAGGGCGGCCGGGCAGGCCATTCCCAAACTGCTGTCTGGTAAGATGTACCCAAAGAGCACGATTGTGATCACCTCCCGACCCTCAGCAGGAGTGCAGCAGTACACCCAGCCAGACTGCCACGTACACATCATGGGCTTCTCTCCTGAACACATGGAAAAATATGTGCGGCAATATTTCAGCATCACTGAAAACTCAGATGTGGCAAATGGTCTCATCACTATCCTCAAGGAAAAGCAGCCCGTTACTGACTTGATCCTCACGCCGATTTTCCTGATGTTGGTGTGCCTGCTGTGGGAGGAGAATCCAGACTTGGTCTCTCAGGGAACAATGACGGGAGTTTACAGCGACCTGCTGACGTGTCTGTGTAGGAAGCACTGCAAGCGGGAAGGAGTGGACATGCCAACAGACGGGCTACCTGGAGACATCGCTGCTTCATTGCTGCAGCTCGGCAAGCTGGCGCTAGGGGCTCTGCTGAGGAACGAGACCCTACTAGACATTGGATCATTACCACCGCGTGAGTGGGATTGGGAGCTGCCGCTAAAGCTTGGTGTAGTGTCCTTTGAGGTGTCTGCCTCTAAACTGCATCCCAGGAAACAGCTGAACTTCTCTCACAAAACGATGCAGGAGTTCCTGGCCGGAAGATATCTCGCTCACGCTCTGGCGAATCAAGACATCGTTGGGCTGCTGCAGCTACCCTCTATAAGAAAGGCAATTGAACTCAGAACCCTGCTTCAGTTCACGTGTGGCTGTGCCTCACAGGCTGCGCAAGTTGTGTTGGAAGAGCTGATCAGTCTGAGCAGGAAAGAGTTCGCGGATTTACGCCCAGAGCACCTTGTCAGGCCAGGTTGGCTGTTGCCAGAGCCAGTATCGGATCGGATGTTCGGACTCGCTGAAACGTACAGGCAGTTCGGTCTGCTCTGTCTGGACATCCTCAGTGAACGAAAAGAGTTAGCCGTGTTGAACAAAGTCAGAAAAGCTATGCCGATTTTCGTCCTATGGCACTTCACCAACAGAAAACGACAAACTGCCTTTAGGTATTACTTAGACAACATCCAGTCATTGGAACTTCCTGAGAGAATGATGCTCAGGACAGTTCATCTCAATATACCTTTAGGTCAGTACATGGAGGAGACATTCATTTCCCCAATTCCAGGTCTTCGGTTGGACCTTAGTTCAGCCATGAAGCCATTACCACCTGAACAGGCAGCCAGGTTGATTTCCGCACTGAAGAATGTCCCTGATATGAGGGCTCTGGATCTCACAAGCACAAGTGTGACGCCTTCATCACTCCAGCCACTAGTGCGGGGATTCCAACACATTCCCCTACTAGAAGAGCTGGATGTTTCTTGCAGTAGGGAATTCCGTGATGTTGGGGTTATCCAGTTGAGTCGTTGGCTGACCATTGTTCCACACCTGGCTGTACTGCGCCTCAGTGCCGTCTACATGTCATGGATAGGCATGATTTTCCTGGCAATCCACCTGCCCAAGCTAGCGGGACTGAGGGAACTGGACATAAGTGTAAATACTATCGGTAACGCCGGGCTGGTGCCTCTTGCCGCCATCCTCCCCACCCTCACAAACATGCAGGTGCTGATCTTGTGGCAGATCGGTATCAGCTCCGCAGGCGTGCGCACACTGGTCCCTGCACTGAGGAAACTACACGGACTGATCAAGCTGGATGTCAGTGACAATCCGGCCATAGGAGACATCGGGCTGGAACGCCTTACTGAAAGTCTCTTCCACCTCATGGCTATGAGGGTGCTGGGTCTAAGAGAAATAGGTATTAGCGATAAAGGAATATCATCCCTGGTCAAAGTTCTGCCTCACCTGGTGCAATTACAGGTGTTGGATGTGGGATTTAATAACATTGGGGACTCCGGGATTGTCTCGCTGGTGCAAACACTCTGCCAGACAAGCAATGTGAACACGAAGCACACACCACCTGGTGACAAGAGTCTGACCAACTCCAAGTTGCGTGAGCTACACATGGGGTACAACAGTGGAGTGACAGGAGTCGGACTGGGGAGGGTCGTGAAGCTTCTGTACGCACTGCCAGGACTGACCAAGCTGGACATGTCTGGTTGCCGCTTATCACATCACGTACATGCATACCTGCGCGACACCGCTGCCATGGATCTGGCTCAGGCCCTGCCCAGACTCCCTGCCTTGGAGTGGCTGGTTCTAAGGAACATCTGCATGGATTCTGCAGGATTCCGGGCTGTCGTGCGGGCTGCTGAGGAGCACGGTACACCGTGGAGACTGTCGTAAGTCTCGTCTGGTTTAGCTGACATGTCAAATCAGTTTGTTTGTTTGTTTGTTTGTTTGTTTCTTTGATTTAGTACGTGATACCGAAAGAAACAGATTATTTCAGACAGTTACAACAATTTCTCTATCCTTTCGTCATTTAGAAGATCACCAAAAGACTACGTTCCTACTAAGATCACAAAACCCACTAATTATGCAGAATGTGGGACTATTCATTATCCACTGCCTTCAAAGAAGTCGAACCCCATAATAGCTAGCGTAGTAGTAGTAGTAGAAGTAGAAGTTTTTTTTCCAGACAGTTGTTACCTGTCTCCTGTTACTGTATTGCAATGAGTATTATACTTGATTGTAAAAGCAATCAGCCTTCGGGCATGATTTTGCGAATAAAGTTTCTATAATGTACCCATTATTTCGATTTCACTAATTTTAAAAAAACAGAATTGGTAATTAGACCACAACTGTTGAAAATACAACGCTTACATGACTTTTATGAGATATCCATTCTTTGATCTACAGGTACCACAAGAGTGGGCTTCCCTCGGAAGTGGACACAAGCACCAGATGCCTGGACTTGGAAAATACCAATTCTCCAAGGGTTCGGATCAGAGCGACGTCACCATTTAGGACAATGCGCATGTATATGATTTAAGTTACAAGAAAATACCATTAGTCGGAATCAAACTTGACGTGTATTTTATTTTATCAAAAGTTTGGAAACTATGGATATGAATCACACATCTACGGATTCATAAAGTACACCGGCATGTTGAGCGTAGGGCATTATATTAATTGTGAAACCACAAACAAAATACATCATAGACGATCTCTACTGAAGTTACAGACGTGTAGTTTTGCAGTTGACCTGATCTATAATTTGAACAAATGTTCTCAAAATGTTATTTCACGATGTTTTTAGAATGCCTAGTTTACGTCCATACATTTCACTGTTTGCTATAGTATAGAGTTTTCTACTCACATGGCGTATGTTTTGCTAATTGCTTGAAACTGGAAGTTGTCAAGTGAATTGAATGTGCATAATGTAGAGTCTGGTAGAGTTCCACAATACCTTTAAATGTATTCAGATAATACACATCTATGTTACGTCATCCCCCTGCCTATCTTTATATGTTAAGTTTATTTTTTCAAACATTTTATTTCTCTAATGACGTAGCGAAAATACATAACGCCCAATGAAACGTAGATGATTTAATTGACTGTAGTTTTCTCGTAGGTCTGCCTTTAACTTCAGTTTTCCTGTCCGTTACGGTATGGGCGTGTGGTTAAAAAGCAGTTTGTAAATTCTTTTTGGTGCAGTTTTCCCAAGTTTGTATACTCACTAACCGTCTGAATGCCAAAAAAAGTGTGGAAGTGAAAAAAAAAGATGTCAGGAAAAAAAATGTCTGTGATGGTTGCCTGTGAGGGGCTCTCCGGAGCTCCTGGTGTGGGTTAGGGGTAGGGAGATGCCAATGAAATGCACTTCACATTACATGTAGTTTTCTGGTAAAGCGGTTTTAAAGTTTTTGCTGTTGTTTATGTACACTAATCAAGCGTTTGAAAGCTATAAAGCGTGGAGATGAAAACCATTCTGTCAGAAAACTGTCCCTTACAGTTGGCTGTGATGTTTCCTGCCTGTGTACGGATGGTATCACGTTGTTACTTCAGCAGTTTGACAATAACGTAACCAGGCCCCGCGTTGGTTCCATTCTGGCCACTTGCGTCTGTGCCGGCATTGAAGGACCCTCCCCCTCCTCCGCACTCGCAATGTCCCATTGGACCCCTCCCCCCTCCCGGAGTACCCCCCTCCTCCACCCGACCCAGAACCCCCCTCCGTGGGCCCCACCCCCTGCTCGAACCCCCCAGATGCCTTATAATACAGCCCACTCCCTCCCTGCCCCCCGTTCACAAACGCGTACCCCCCCTCCCCGCCGCTTGTCCGGGACCCTCGCACAAACTGCCACCCGCTGCCGCCGTTAGTGTAAAACCCGCCTCCGCCCCCACCTAGCTTCCCCGTCCCTTCCGTCGCTCCGTGCCCGTCGGTACCCCCCGCGAAGTACTCATCATTCGAGTTTCCCGCTCTCAGCATCGCGCCCCTGTAGCTGGTCTGCCCTGACGTCAGCGTCGTCCCGTCGCACGACACGTATCGCCGGTCCAGCCAGGCAATGCCCCCTCCCCCTCCCGCGATGATGAGGGGGAAGTTGTTAAACCTCGCCACGAACGTCCCGCCGCCTCCTCCTGCAGAGAACCCGGCAGCTGTCTCCGCGCCCTCCTGCCCGACTAGAACCTTCAGCACCTCCCCTGTGGGCGGGAAGACGAAAACTTTCGTCGGTGAAGATTAGACATCTACATGTATTATCAAAAACTTAAACTGTTCTCCAACTCAAAAATTGACTCACCAGAAATTTTTGCGTTGGAGAACGAACAGTTTAAGTTTTTCATAATGTAATTTACCAACTCAGATGAACTTTTTGCTGATTAGACGTCCAGCTGATAAGATACGCCAAAAAGCAGTTACTCAAGCAGCTGGATATGATTTTGGAAACGGCCAGACGTTTCAGGTAGCATCCACTACCTTTTGTCAGTGACACTGTCATTGTATCATCCAGGTAATAACATACGCCAAGCTAACAGTTACAAGCAACTGGATATGGTTTTTGAACCGGTCAGACGTTTAAATTGTTCGTACTGATGCTTTTTTTTTTTACAAGTCTTCAGTGTCACCGACGAAAGGTATTGGATGATACCTGAAATGTCTGACCGTTTCCTGATCATATCCAGTTTCTTGAGTAACTGTTTTTTTTTTGGCGTACAATAACAACTACAATACTGAGATAATGAAGAGTGTTGTACCTTTGGTAAGGTGGAAGGTTCCGCCCATCCAGGCGCCGTGGCCGCGAGCGGAGGCGTTCACCGTCTGACTGTCCACTCCTCCCGCAGCACCTGTCACGGGCACGTTACGCGGTACGTTATTTTTTTTTTTATATATTCCAACATATAATCACACGACGTGGTGACGGCACACTCAAGTTTTTTCAACTTATATTAATGCCGCCACCAACACAGGTGACAATACAGTACTCAATTTCACCTGAGCGAAGTGAAGAAAGTCGTGTAAAGTGCCTTTCCAAGGGCACAAGATCGGTGGCATGTCAGGACTCGAACTTGGGACCTCTTGGTTCAGAGTCGAGCCCGCTGCCGCTACGCCACACGACCACACTACCGCGGCACGTTAAAGAACCCTCCACACTTATTCAAAATTGAAGGGGACCTTCTAGGTGTAAGTGGTTCAAACCTTACAGTCCTATGACCGCACAAGTGGTAGTATTGAGGTCAGCGCCGAATGGCGGGCAGCCGCTCCAGACCCTTGTGATTAAGCCCCTATAACTGTAAGCTCCTCACAATTCAGCCCTTGGCTACAAGGAGAGAGTAGCTGGCCCATAAGACAGCAAAGAGATTTCAAACCTCCGGGAAGTGCCTGCGGAAAATTTATAAAACTTGCTTTTACCTGCCACTTCAATCCTGTAGTCTCCCGTCTCAGGCACGGTGAAGAGCTGGATCCCGTCCTGTAAGGTCACCAGCTTCTCGTGGTCCTGTCCGCGGTAGTGGGCACCCAGGCTGGTCGGGCCTGCACGGCCGGTCGCACCGAGGGTGGTGAACGTGGCAGTCACGAAGCCAGCGTCTAAAAGGTGACAAATTGCTTATATCAATTAACATAGATGAATGACAGAAGACGACAGGGTAATAAACATTAACAGAATTCGGCAGACGGTAATCAGCATATGGTGAAGTGATGTTCTTGTATGTACGGGTAGATCCTTGAGAGGCTAGTTATAACGTACCCTTTAGGCTGTTCAGGGTAGTTGGCGGGTCGCTGGAAGCGTCGCTACCGGGCTGGTCCGGCCGAGGCCGAGCGGCCTCCCCGGTCTCCCTGGTCCCGGGTCGCCCCCAGGTCTCCCCGGGTTGCTGCCAGGTCTCCCCGGTCCCGCCCCCGGGTTGCTGCCAGGTCTTCCCGGACACGCCCCCGGGTTGGCCCCAGGTCTTACCGGGTTGCTCCCCGGTCTTCCCGTCCCCGGGTTTCTGCCAGGTGTCCCCTGTCACGCCCAACTCTCCTGCGGGGAGCCGAAGAAACGGCGGAACCTCCTTCGGGACGGTGAGGTTTTCCTCTGCCCGGCTCGGCTGTCGGGGGGGCTGGCTGCTGGGCTGGTAACCTGTTCGGATAGAGGACGGTATCACTTAATTACTAATCTAATTTCTAAATGATTTTGCTCTTAACTTTGTAAATGTCTCTTGATGTATCTTGTGCAATTTGTATATGGAATAGTTTAATGTTCAAATATGAATGAGCAAAATTCAAATTTGACTATGCTAAATGTACCTGTGATGTAGATGACCAGGGCCAGGTTGACTCACCTGTGATGTAGATGACCAGGGCCAGGTTGACTCACCTGTGATGTAGATGACTCACCTGTGATGTAGATGACTCACCTGTGATGTAGATGACTCACCTGTGATGTAGATGACTCACCTGTGATGTAGATGACTCACCTGTGATGTAGATGACTCACCTGTGATGTAGATGACTCACCTGTGATGTAGATGACTCACCTGTGATGTAGATGACCAGGGCCAGGTTGACCAGGTACATCAGACCCAGGGTGATCGACAGTTTCCGGAAGCCTTTCTCCAGGGCTGGTATGACCATATATGGGGGAAAATAATATCATATGTTACCATGGAAACCCGTCCGTAATCAACTTGATGATGATGATGATGGGTGACGTCATTAACAGACGATCAAATACAACCGGTTTATAGTAGACGATAGTGGATCTAAAGCATCTTTACCTCAGTGCAAGGAAGTTTTAGTCTCCACCAGACTCTTTTGCAGGCTGAATAGGTAGTGGAAATCGGGCTAAAAGAATGTAGCTGACCAGGGGAGTTGACCGGCCATCGAGGGTCTAGTTTGCCTGCATAGAACTGCACCATCTATAATAGAACTAATGCTGCCAAACTCCCCTGGTATGCTCTTTTTCTTGTTTGCCTTTTTTTGATCCATCAGTAGAAAAAAAGTCAAGTGTCGTTATTCCTAAACGGAATGATTGGCTGAACATCCGATGAGCTTAACCATTTCAAAGTCAACTAGAGAGTAAACTTTAAGACATAAGTTCTGCGTGGGGAAAGTAGTTTTGTTGCGAACCAGACTAATCATGAAGTTTTCTGCAGACATCTCCCACGCATAACTCCTGCAGTTGTTTGTCTGATTTCCAAAGGTTAAGATTGTATAAATACAAATCGAATGTTTGTATGTCTGAGAATGAGACAAATCACAAGCCTCCCCCGCGCAGTTACCGCCTCTTCAGTCTGAGCGCCAAACGTCGCCGGAAAGACGCACGACGGGCAGCAGACCAATCTTGTTGGTGCAAACCGCCTCCAGGCGTAAAACACACGGTTGTTACAATAAGCTGATTTTGTTTCTCCTTTTTTTTTCTATTTCCCTGTCTCGCTTATATGTTTAAGTTCAGTTGACTTTATGTACTTTTGAGTTGACGTTGTGTACTTTTCACTTTTATGTACCAATTATGTTATGTACAACATTGTAATAAGTTCTTCATCTGATGTATCCAGTTTGACCTTTGATTTTGGACTTGGATTTATGTTTCTATGATTTCTGTACTTATTTTTATATTTATGTTCTTCATTCACTCATTCATTCATTCATTCATTCATTCATTCACACAAGTTTTGTATGAATAGATAAGGAAGGAGACAACTTACCCGTCATGCGTTGGTACAGGCGTTTGAGAATCCCAGAATCCCCTGCGGCAAGAACATCTGCTTCAACCGGAGGCTGCTCAGAACCTGCAACATTTACAACCAGTCAAACTGCAACATTTACAACCATCAAACTGCTACATTTACAACCATCAAACTGCAACATTTACAACCAGTCAAACTGCGACATTTACAACCATCAAACTGCAACATTTACAACCATCAAATGCAACATTTAATTTTACAACCAGTCAGTAAAACATCTAACTGCAACATTTACAACCAATAAAATCAATACAACCAATACAACCAATAAAACACCAGGCTAGGGCATATTTGTGTTAATAAAACCATTAGAGGTACCAGTTTGGACTGGACTAAACAAAACTTGTTAAATTGTTATGTTCACAATAGAAGAAGAACTTTATTGCACGACAATTGTACAGGGTACATTGTATGGCAAATAGGTAACAATAAGTAGCATAGTAAAATAGATAGGTATAGAATAAAACTTGATATACAAAACTGTTTAAATGTCCAAATCAAGTATTTACAATTATGATTAAAATGGTACTAGATAAATATAATAACGTAAAGTATTGTTTAGACCAGTACAAACTGGAAGAGTCTTTACCAGCAAATTCTAACAATAACGTTACATGGTAAAGACAGGCTAGGCAGCGGCTGCAGTGTTATGCATGTGTATTAAGCTTTTGGCTTTGGGCGAGCACAATATAATAAATAGGCTGTAACACGGCTGTCCTTACCTTCTCCGCCTTCACGAGCGGTCTTCATCCCTTCTGAAGCATCAACTTTCAAAGTCATGTACCTCGGCTGGTCACCTGACAGGGTGGGAAACGATTATGTTTTATACCGGCAAGCTCTGTACCGTGTGTGGGCATTGAGACTCAACGTCTAGATATTCATAGTATTTCTCGATCATTCATGCGTATAGTTCACATTTTTTGGCCATGTTGGAAGTCACACAGGCACTAAAATGATTCAAGTTAAAACTTTTGGTCCAACACAAAAAATTCTCTCACCTAGACCTTTCGACTAGTCACTCCGGTCTTCCTCAGTAGACTGACTCAGTGAAGCTCTAGGTGAGAGAATTTTTGTGTTGGACCAAAAGTTTTAACTTTACACAGATGAACTTTCATGATAGGCGCTAAATTTATTGATTGTAAGAATGAGTGTAGCACCTTAACAGATTACAATAGAACTTTAAGTTATCTTTGTCAGCTGTATCATCTTTCAGGGTCAGGTACTCGGTATTTAGTTACCTTTGTTGCCTGTATCATCTTTTAGAGTCAGGTGTTTAGTTACCTTTGGCTCTGTCAGCTGTATCATTTCTTAGAGTCAGGTACTCCGGCTCGTCTTCCGACGCGTCTGCTAAAGATAACAGATGATACGGGGGAGATGTTCCATCAGCTTTTACGTTATCATAGTTTTCGTACTAATTGATGCAGAAACACCGCGACAGAAATTTAGTTCTCAAAATAAAATGTTTCGGAATGCTTTTTGCTCACATGGGCACAATATGCATTATTTTAAACGTATTCCTGTATATTTTTTCATTGAAGAAAGAAAACCTTTATTGGCACAACAAAAGTACCACGATTTTAGTATGTTTTCCGACGCATGAACTTGCCTCACCTGCGGCGCGTTCGTAGATGACGTTTTCGGCGTCGGCCAGATCACCTGACGGGTTGACGTAAACCGGTTCTCCGCGTGCGTCGTTCGGCGTCACGTACGCCGGGTCCTCACCTGACGTGCGGCCAGGTGGGAAACGTCAAACACGCGAACAACTGAACGTAAAACCAACCCTCACTAGTGACCACCTCTACGTAAGGACCACCTGGCCATTGATATACAGTGTAAATGTACTTATTACACAATCTGCGAAATAGAAAAGAAATGAAACGATGTATCTCTGTCTTACTCTCCAAGCAGAGGTTTGGGTTTTAGCCTATTTTGTGCGAGTTTTGAGCTTTTTTTTACCAAACTGTCTTTTTGCACTGTTTTTTTTTTACGCAAACACAGAACGTCTGATAAAAAGCCTAAAACAGGCACAAAAAAGCCAAAACCCAAACCTTTGCTTGGAGAGTAGCCTTACCTTGCATGGAAGCCTTACCTCGCGGGAGGGCCTTCTGCCGGGGCATGGCTACTGTCCGTCGGGCTTGTGAACAGCAGGCACAGCAGGTACGGATATAGCCGGCGGGTTTATGAACCGGGCGGCACCTGGCACAGAAGTACGGAGTCTGCTAATGCCAAACACGAGTTTGCTCAACACAGGGAGTCGCATGCCGACTTATACACGTCTCCAGCCCCCGGTTGTGTCCGTCGCACTTTACAAATGAATATGCCGAATGAATATGCCTGGGTTCCGGGAATTATGACGCACCGTCTCCCTCCCGGTTTGTAGAAAGGTCACTTTTATATATATTTAGGGCTCTTGTTTTTCATATTTCGAAATCCCTCGGGCCTTAACAATAGCAAGTATATTTTTTGCGTTTTTCTGTCTGGCGCAACTTCGCTAAAAGGACCGGGATGGCTGAAACAATCTTTCTCTTCTTTCATTTTGAGGCAGCCGCCTACAACTAGCTGAAGATTATCATGAAAGTTCATCTGTGTTGGTAGTTACATGCTTAGAGTTAAAAGTTTGGATCCAACACAAAAATTCTCTCACCTAGAGCTTTCGACCAGTCACTCTGGTCTTCCTCAGTAGACTGACCAAGTGAGGCTTGTCACGTGGCTTCTTTGGGTCAAAGGTATCTGGTAGATGATGTCGGCCACCCTCACGGTTAAGCGAAGGGTGATGGGCCCCGATGTATATAGCCTCCTTCAGGAAATAGTCTTGTCCAGTGTCCAAAATCCTTACTTAGCTGAAGATTCTGCTGCCTTTTTATGAGATGGGGTTGGCCAGGCCTCATGGTCGTGGGCATTAACACAAAACCCAATGGAGGAACGCACAAAGTTAATTGTACAATATTCCTTTCCATTCAGAAAAGAAGCCTTTATACTGTACGAAGTGCTAGTACTGCGTGTCGCTACAGAAAGGCTGTACTCGGTCGGCTGACACACTGCGACACGCAATAGCATCAGGATTAACTAAGGGTCGTAGGTCAAAAATGACGTAGGCAAAAACATGGCTGACAAAAACGACAAGATTCTCCCGAAAATGTTTTGACTTTAAACTCGCGGATTGTCACCGTTACAGGGTCTGTCTTGTAGAGCTGATTTTCTGAAGTGATCAGGTAAGACTTTCGGCTACGTTTGGTGACGTGGGATGTTTGATACCGAGTATATTTCCGGGTTTACTGCCGTTTTGTGTGAGGTTGTTTTCGGCCTTTATGTAATCTCCAAGCAGATACGCCATAAACATTAGTTCGTGCTGACATGATTTTCTGACAACTCTCCAGTGTCACTGACGAAGGTAGTGGATGCTACCTGAAATGTCTGACCGTCTCCAAATCAAATCATATTTGAGTAACTGTTTTTTGGCATATCTTATTACTTAGTACCTGGATGTCTACTACTAGTAACCGGTTATGTGTGACATAGTTTTTGCCCTATGGTATGACTACACATAATATTTGGGCCGTTCAAAAAAATAAATGTGGGGGGGGGGGGGGCTCGGTCACTGAATGACATCCAGTAAATTTCTAGCGGGGACCAATCAGAGGGCTGCTGAATAATTTGAATAATTTATTAAGGCCCACGGACGCGGTTCTTTCACTTGTAAAGTAGCCAATTACCACCGGGCCGGTGGCACACGATGGGCGAAAACATGTATTTCACACCCATTGTACGTCGACATAAAGCGCTTATACATTACAAAGAGAATTTTCGTAGGACTGCCATTACTTTAGTTTGCAGCATGTGTACTGAGAACGAGTATCTTCATAATTCTGCTGGCTGTTTGTAGGAGAACGGCAGAATAAAACAGTTTTCAATACCAACACGACTTAGCAGATAACACGTAATGAAGCCCACTTTTTACGCAGATTGTAGCACTACGTAATGCTACATAAACTAACAAGTAGATGTTTTAAGGAATTCACAGAAATGACAATGATAGATAATGTAACGCATATACATTATACAGCACAAAATAAAGAGTAGCAGTAATGTAGTCGTCTTTGGCCGGGTATAGCAAGTTATAGTACGTACATGTATCGGTTCAATCTTTAACGGGTAAGTTGACAGCAACAAGCAAGATATGCATAGGTTCTATTACTTTTGTAGCTCACGAGCTCACTTGCGTCTAGATTTGGGACGAACCCATGTTACTTTTTCGCCGCAGTTTTTCATGTAGTGGTTACTTCGACAGCCTTTCCGCTGACGCAAACATACTAGTTTGAGGTTCCACAGTTCTTACAACATTAGCGCTTGAAGTGGTGTTTTCCAAGTTTGTTGGTCTGGTGATGTGTTTGTTGGCTTGTTCATTTCCCTCCATTTTTGTGTTTGGCGGCCCGTCTTCGATGGTGGTTTGGGTTTGCTTCACAAATCTCGGCTTCGCTAAGATCAGTTCCTTCCCGTACGTAGTGGTCGCTCCATTAGCGCTAGTGCAGCCACATTTGAATGTGTTAAACTTAATGTCTACAGTCCCGTTTTGATTCGTTCATCAAAGTAGATTTTACTAAGGTATGACTTTACTAACTGATTGTGGAAGTACTAGTACTTAGTACTGATGTAAACAAGAAACAATATACGCGCTCTGATTGAGTTCATGGCATTTACATGAAACAAGATGCTAATAGCCGCTAGTCGGTGACGCGTCAGCAGCCCTATGATTGGTCCCCGCTAGAAATCTACTGGATGTCATATAGTGTACGACGGGGGGGGGGGGGGGTA